AGGTCCTTGGCGATGCGGTTGTCTTTGCCCCTGTAAATCTTCCATAGCAGCAGATCCCAGCAGACAGAATTGCTCAAACGCCCCCTGGCCGGCCAGGCAGAGCCAAGGGCAACCTTTCTTCGCAGACGGCTAGCTCATTTCACTTCATCCTCCCAACAACGTTTTGAGGTAGGGCTTATTATTATCCTCCGTTTAGAGACGACTGTCTTAAGACTTAAACGGGATAATTAGATTGTTAAACATCACATTCCATGCTCACCTGGATCCACTCTGCCACATCCAGCAAAGACCCATGCTGCAGCCACCTTGCTTCTGGGAAAGTGACACAATCTGTCAGGTCCCTTGTCTTTATCTGCTCTCACCTTCCCCACCCTACTCCTGACTTCCATCCCACCTTACCCCCGTCTGGCTCCCATCTCTGACTCACTCCAGGACACGGCTCACCTATCACTTCCTCCAGGGAACCTTCTCTGACAAGCTCTGCTTTTTCATGTAGTCTGGGTTGGCCAACTCCTCCGTGCCTACCTGTATCACAGCACTTACCACTTCTTGCTGAACTTGTCCTCTGTCTCCTCTGCCTTTCTCTTTCCCCAACTAAACTCAAGGGCAAGAGTTTAATTTCTTTCTCTGTGGTGACTAGTTGGCACAAATAAGGTATTCAATAAATATTTGTTGAACAAATTAATAGGATTCTTATAATTGCCATAGAAGATGACCTTTTTACAAACGAGGAAAAATGAAGCTCGAGTAAGTTGAGTGATTTGCTCAGTTCTGGCCGGTTAAGTGTTAGGATTATTCGAATCTAGGTCTTTTGACAACCTGTCCACGTTGACCAAAATGCTGAAATTTAAAGAAACAAAAATTTAAAACCCCGCCGGTTTTAGGGGGAACAAAAATACTAGCAATGTGCCAGTGCAAGCTAGATAGGGGTAGATTTAGGTTGTTTATATGGTTTTTTTTTTTTGTTTAAAAAAACACAATTAACAATTTGTTGTTGTTGTTGTTTGTTTTTGAGACAGGGTTTCATTCCTGTCACACAGGCTGGAGTGTAGTGGTGTGATCTCTCTGCAACCTCCGCCTCCCGGGCTCAAGAGACTCTGGTGCCTCAGCCACCCGAGTAGCTGGGATTACAGGTGTGCGCCATGATGCCCGGCTAATTTTTGTATTTTTAGTAGAGAGAGGGTTTCACCGTGTTGGGCAGGCTGGTCTCAAACTCCTGGCCTCAAGTGATCTGCCTGCCTCCACCTCCCAAAGTGCTGGGATTACAGGCGTGAGCCACCGCACCCGGTCCCATGTTTTTTATATAGCCCTTTCTTTCTCTTCGATTATTTGCTTAGTATTATAATTTCTAGAAGTTGGGTTGTGAGGACAAGCAGCTGAACATTTTAGATGGTTCTTAACATTACTGCCAAATTGCATACTAAAAACATTAACACTATCTTCAGGTATAAAGAACTCTGAGAGTGTCAATTTCACCATGTATACACCAGCATCAAAAATTGTCATTATTTAAATTTGCTTTTCCCTCAGAGATATAAGGAATGACTCATTATTTGTTTCCTTTTTATTTCTTTGTGAACAACTGAGGTTGAGTATTGTTCTGTGTACTTAGGTGTTCACTTACCCACATTCTTGTGAGACCCCCATGTTCACGCTCTATATTGTGCTGTTCTTTAAGACTGGAGAAGGCACACTTAACTATTTAAATACTAGGTGGAAGGTGCTGTGCTAGGTCCTGCAGGAGGTAATGCAGCTGACTGAGATACCACCCCTGCCTTCTCACTGAGTTTATGCTTGAGCAGAAGGGGTGGATGTGTACAGAAATAATAATCCAGTCGCCTGAGGGCAGGAGTTTGGCATCAGCCTGACCAACATGGTGAAACCCCGACTCTACTAAAAAATACAAAAATTAGCTGGGCGTGGTTATGGGCACCTGTAATCCCAGCTACTCGGAGGGCTGAGGCAGAAGAATCATCTGAACCTGGGAGGTGGAGGTTGCAGTGAGCTGAGATTGTGCCATTGCACTCCAGCCTGGGCGACAAGAGCAAAACTCCGTCTCAAAAAAAAAAAAAAAAGAAAAGAAATAGTGATCCAGGTGGCTACACAGGACAGCTAAGAGGTGAATAATGTGTTATAGAAGCACAGAGTTAGGATCAATGATTGATTCCTGACTAAGAGAGTATCAAGGAAAGCTTCAAAGAGTTGGTGGCATTTATTCCAGGCTGGAAGGGATGAGAAACATCTATTTAGAAGAACTCCAGGTTGACAAAGCATCATGAACAGGTGTTGAGTCTATGATGTATTTTACATTCCGTTCCTGAGAACATTTAGCATTAGTGTGGTTCGGGTTCTAACCATCAGTTAGAATAGTTTTAGTGGCAGGGAAGAGAATACCCAATGAAAGGAAGTTTTATCAACCGAAGAAACTGTGCTGTCTCATAGAACAGGAGGCAGCCATTGTTTGGGTTGGTTCATCAGAGGCACCACGTGATAATCAGAGCCCCCAAGCTTTCCCTTTTTTTCTCTGCCTTCCTAGGTGTTGACTTTGTCCTCAGATTGTGTTTTTCCCCATCCCAAGTTTGCTGCTTTAATCTAGTTATTGTGTCATCTCAAAGCCACATTCAAAAGTAGAACAGGTGAGAATCTCTCACTCCTTCATTTTATTAGGGAAAAATACTTTTCCCAGAAGCCCTGAGAGAGAGCATCTTCTGAAATGTGATCAGCCTACATCATGTTACATGCTCCACCTAATCCAATCAGTGGCTAGATGACATAAAATTAATTATCATGATTGTCGTAAATGAATCAACATTCACCTTTCTAGGATTTGAAAGGGGGTCACTCTCCTTGAACACACAATCCTCTCTAAACTGGGCTTCTACATATAAGGAAGAAGGTGGGTACATGTAGGTTTTGATTAAGCAACAACAATATCTGCCACAGTGCTTATAAGTAGACATTTAAATCAGAATTACACCAATATTGATACATTTTCATCAATAAGATATTTTCTGGATTCAGCTTTCATGAGCTAATTTTAGAAAAATTTTTCTGTACATCATATGACATTTTCATTTTTTTCCATTTTCATTTTTGTTTTACTTAAACTGTTTTCATAGATACCAATTCTTTTCCATATAAATTTTATGCCATAGATTGATTTCATTTATCTTTTTAATGTCTATATTAAATTTTATTGATAATATTTGTAGGCTTTGACATTATTAGTTTTCTTCTTGAGACTCTTATTTGTCCTAATTATCTTGGGCCAAATTTTGTGAATCAAGGAATTTTATGTTGACTGTTCCTATCAATAATCTTTATTAGGAATTGGATAAGAGACTGATTATATGTGTTTCTTAGTAAATCCATGATGAAATTGTGACAAATTCTTTTTAGAAATGCTAAAAATTAATCTGTTGTTCAGACTGTGGTATTGCAGGGCTCAGCAAATCAGGGTCATGTGAGCCAAATCTGGCCTGATGCTTGTGGGGCTGCAAGCTAAAAATGGTCTTTACAGATCAACTTTTGCAATCTATTTAATAATAGGCAACATTAATTCTAATCCCAATTAGAAGAATGTTACCTACACCCCCAAAATTAATTTAATTCTTCTCATTAATAGACATGTATTACAAAAATTTTATTCAATTATTACTATTACATTGGATTTTTTTTTTTTTTTTTGGATTCTTTCTCTGTTGCCCAGACTGGAGTGCAGTGGCACGATCTTGGCTCTCTGCAACCTCCGCCTCCCAGGTTCAAGTGATTTTCCTGCCTCAGTCTCCTGAGTAGCTGAGATTACAAGTGTGCGCCACCATGCCTGGCTAATTTTTGTATTTTTAGTAGAGACAGAGTTTCACCATGTTGGCCAGGCTGGTCTTGAACTCCTGACCTCAACTGATCCACTCACCTTGGCCTCCCAAAGTGCTGGGATTACAGGTGTGAGTCACTGTGCCTGGGCTTACATTGAATTTTATCAATAAATATTTCATGGAAACTTGTTTTCTCTTCCGTCATATAAATTCTATACAATATTCTTGATTTTTACTATTGGTCCACAAACCCTAAAATATTACTATCAGGTCCTTTATAGAAAATATGTGCTAAACCCTGCTCCATTGCATTGCTAACCCGATTCTTCTCCTGAACACTTACACTTTCCCTACCCTACATTAAGGCTCTGCTTCATTGGGGTTACAAAGAACAAATGGTGAAGAGTTTAGTCTGTTCAGGTTTTCATAACAAAATACCATAAACTGGGTGGGTTATGAACAACAGAGATTTATCTCTCTATTGTTTATTCTCAAAGATTTATTAATTAACAGAGATTTATTCTCCCAGTTCTGGAGGCTGGGAAGTCCAAGATCAAGGCAATAGCAGATTTGGGTGTGGTGAGGGCCCACTTCCTGGTTCATAGATGGCTATCTTCTCACTATCTTCTCTCTGTCTTCTCAGAGGGGAGAAATGGGTATGAGGAAGCTCTCTGGGATCTCTTTCATAAAGACATTAATTTCATTCATAAGACTCATGACTGATCACTTCCTAAAGGCCCCACCTTCAAATATCATCATCATCTTGGGGATTAGGTTTCAACACATAAATTCTGTGGGGGACACAAATATTCAGTCCATAGCAGTGAGTGAGGTCCCTATGTTTTTAGGGTTGAAATTGTAGTCTGTCCTGCTTCAGTTACGAAAATACTGAGTGGATGAATGTGATCACATTGGTCAGTGACAAAGGGAAATGCTCTTCAAACTCTAACACATTGTGTCAAATAAAAACAAAATTGACATAAGAGTTTTAAAATAAAAGTCAATTTTGCTTTTTTTTGTATTAAAGTATGATGAGTCTAACATGTTGGAAAAGCCAAAATATTGTTTCAAAGCATCAACATTTCAGAGAAACATAGTCTTTTGAAACTTGGGAGAGTCGACAGGACTTTTACTTTTTCCTACTGTTTCCTACTGAAGTTAGCTTCTTTTTCTTTCCTTTAACAGATGAGGAAAAAGAAAATAATAGAGCATCCAAGCCCCACTCCACTCCTGCTACTCTGCAATGGTAAGTTTCCATTTTTAGCAAGTTCTCTTTTCAGAGGATGCTCATATCTTCTTACCTATAGGATAGGATATCACTTGGATATTTTAACATTGTCATAACTTGACATCCCACAACCAACATGAAATCTATTTAATTTGCAGTATATGTAAAATGCTCCACTAGCCTTAGATCTAGCCTGGGGATTGGAATTTTCGTATTTTATTTTAGGGTAGATGTTTTTTCTGTTATCCAAACACTGGCAAGGACTGGATTCCCCATGGTGTTATTAATTGATTTTAATAGAATCCATTATTACAATTTATAATAGAAACAGATGTCTGTTGACTCTTACCAATGAACCCTTAATTCATAATTAATTGCAACTATATATAAATATTTTAACATTAATAACACTAACAAGAGTAATCTACTAGAATGGCCTTCTCTTTAATATTCGGCATTCCTGGGCTTGATGAAATATTTAATGATGTTTAAGTGGTTGCCTTTGTTGTTTGATATTTACAGATAAATTCTCCTCTAAAAGCTTTATTTGGAAATTATGTTGTAGCTTTGAACACTAGAGCTCTCTATGAGATTCACCCCATGGAGAATCTTGGCCATTGAAGGCAATTATTGCCCTAGCAGTGCAGCCCAGCAAATATGAAAGAATTAGGAATGAAGGGGAAGGAAAGAGAAATGGGGAAAAGAAAGGAAGGGGTGCATTATATGCACCCCTCCATGCTAGGCACTTTATATATATGCCTCATTTCATTCTCACAATTCTGTGGAGTTGCTATTGTTGTGCCCGTTTAACTGATGAGGAAAATAAAGCTGAACCAGTTAAATCATTTGCCTGAATAGGCACACAGCCAATCAGTGGCAGAGGCAGGAACCTGGCTGGGTCTCTTTAACTGCAAAGCTCATGCTTGGGAAGAAAGGAAAAGAAACATTAGGAAGGATAGAGAAGAGAGGGCAGATCAGAAAAGGAAGCAGATGGGCTTTAATGAGCAAATCATATTAGATTCTCTAGTCTAATCCATCCAGAGGTGAGAGGAAAACAACACTGGGAGAAAGCACTCAGGAGCGTAACTCAATCTTCTCTAACAAGAGCCTCAGCAGTCAGCTTGTTTTGCTTCAAGAATAGCAAAGGTTGTTTTCAAGAGCTCTATTTCCAGCCTTTTGGCTTCTTTCCATCATTTGTTCCTATAGACCTTTTCCTCATTGCATTTCCTGCTTTTTGCTTTATTTAAAATTCGACTTTACTTCTCAGATCAAATCTCCCCCTTCACCCTTCCCTAAGTATTACAGCCACGCAAGTTCCCATAGTGCCAAGACATCGAATGAGGCATCGATGTAAAGGACTTTGGGAGTGAGAGTTTTTAGAAATGCACGGAATTGACAGACTTTTTTTTTTTTTGAGGTGGAGTCTCACTCTGTTGCCCAGGCTGGAGTCCTATGGCGTGATTTTGGCTCACTGCAACCTCCACCCTCCGGGTTCAAGTGATCCTCTTACCTCAGCCTCCCAACTGGCCGGGATCACAGGCACCCGCCAACACACCTGGCTAATTTTTGTGCTTTTTGTAGAGATGCGGTTTCACCACGTTGGCTAGGCTTGAACTCCTGACCTCAGGTGACCCTCCTGCCTCGGCCTCTCAAAGTGGTGGGATTACAGGTGTAAGCCACCACACTCAGCCAACAGACATTCTTGCTTTAATAACCTGAACATGTCATATGTTTCAGAGTAAAACATTTGAAAGGAACTAGAAGAAAATCACCTTGTTCATGTCTATTTTTCTGTGGTTGCAGGACATCTGCCTGGCAACAGTGAGTCTGTAAATGGTGTAGTCTCTGAAATCAAGCTGTCATGGCTTAACTCCCAGCTCTGCCACTTACAAGCTGTGAAATCTTGGGCAAGGTCCTTAACGTCTCTGTGCCTCAGTCTACTCACGTATAAAATGGGGATAGCAATAGTGTCTAGCTCATAGGGTAGTCATGAAGATGAAATCAGTTGTTCCATAGAAGGTGCTTGAACAGCATCTGGCGTGGGGTGGGGGTTCAGTCGATCCCTCAGCTCACACCTCCTTCTGAGACCCACAAGGACAGCCTGGAGCAGGCCCCGTCTCCTCCCTGGCATAGGCACAGCCACATCTCCTTCTATGCTACCTAATTCTGCACAAAATATCTGTTCTTCTAAATAAAGGGTCACATAGATCATTCCAGAAGAAATTTTACTCTCCAAGTCACAAGGTCAGTGAACTGTTTTTAATGATACGTCTATTTTCAAAGCCAAACCAAATTTGGGAATTTGCACATTTTAGCCTTATTCTTATCAAAAGCCATCAAGTTGTTTAAAGAACATTAACGTTTCCTCTAATTATCTTTATATGTTTTAGAATTTCAGTCATTAACTAATTCAAGAAATGTTTACTGAGCACCTGGTATTTGCTAGGTCCTTGTTCTAGGCTCTGGAAATGCAACGGTGGATAAGGTAGACGAAGAAAAGGAGCCAATGATGGGGGAAATAGGGGAAATATCTATATCTACATCTATAGATATAGATATAGGTAGGTAGGTAGGTAGGCAGATAGAGAGAGAGAGAGAGAGAGAGAGAGATTTTTTTTTTTTTGAGACAGAGTTTTGCTCTTGTTGCCCAGGCTGGAGTGCAGTGGCGTGATCTCGGCTCACCGCAACCTCTGCCTCCTGGGTTCAAGTGATTCTCCTGCCTCAGCCTCCCAAGTAGCTGGGATTACAGACATGCATCACCACACCCAGCTAATATTGTATTTTTCGTAGAGACAGAGTTTCTCCATGTTGGTCAGGCTGGTATCGAACTCCGGACCTCATGTGATCCACCTGCCTCAACCTCTCAAAGTGTTGGAATTACAGGTGTGAGCCACCATGCCCAGCTGAAATATATATAGATACAGTTAAACTAATGACACTCAGGGCGCATTAGTTTACGCCTGTAATCCAAGCACTTTGAGAGGCTGAGGTGGGAGGATCACTTGAAGCCAGGAGCTCAAGACTAGCCTGGGCAACATAGTGAGACCCTGTCTCTGCAAAAAACAAAAATCTTAGCTGGGCATGGTGGCATAAACCTGTAGTTTTACCTACTCTGGAGGCTGAGACAGGAGTATGGCTTGAGCCTGGGAGTTCAAGACTGTAGCAGACTGATCGTGCCACTTTACTCGAGCCTGGGTGACAGAGCAAGACCCTGTCTCTATTTTTAAAAATTACTCATGATTGACAGATAAACAAGTAATGTATTAGATAGTGAGAAGCGCTGTGCAGAGACTTCAACTTGGCTAATAGGGTAGTGTCTGAGAGGCTATTTCAGGTTGAGCAGTAAGGGCAAGTTTCTCTGAGAAGGTGACATTTCCGTGGATAGATGTATGACACCATGACAGTGTGAAAACCAGGGACAGGGGAATGTTCCAGGTGGAGAGAACAGCTTCTACAAAGGCCCCACTGTTGTAGGCGGCCTCTCCAGATTGAGCAGAGTTGTGCATACAGGTGGTTTATTAGGACATGTGCCCAGCCTCCACACCCATGGGAGTGTGAGGGACGCTGGATAGACAGAGGGGGTGTTGGGCAGTGAAGAGGTTATCACAGAGGCTTCAGCCAATCCTACAGGGAGTTCTGAGGTGGGGACGGCCCATTAAAGATGACCTGAATCAAAGCAACAGATCCAGGCCTTTATCCCCAGCCCCATTGTGCATCACTGGATACAGGCTGCCCCCAGGGTGGGGTGTAACTTGGGAGAGGCAGTTCCCTTCATGTTTTGCTGAGGGTCACTCCTTGGAAGGATTCAGCCTCCCAGCAGGGGGAACAGTGTCTCAGTGCCCCAGGGCAGTCTGGGCACACACAACATCCACCACTCCTTCCTGGGATGGGAGCAGGCTGAGCTTGCTGAAGGACCAGCGAGAAGGTGACCCATGTGGTTGAAGCATAGCACACAAGGAGGAGAGTGACACAAGATGAGGCGGGAGAAGCGGGCAGGGGAGAGGGTATGGAAGCAGTAAGGAAGAGAAAGTAGGACATTAAACTTAGATAGGAACAGTCATGCTTAAAATGGTGGTGGAGGACGTGTGACCTCCTATGTAAAGCTGCACATGTATCATTTTTTTAAAAATATGGTTTCAGTATAAAAACTTTCTCTCTGAAAAGAGAGTGGATGCACCCTCTATTTTACAAGGAAAAGTGACATAATTTACAGTGTGCCCCCTTTTTGCTCTGGCTGCCATGGGGTTGAGAGCAAAATCTGATGCTTACATACTTTTTCAATCTCTTCTTTCCTTTGTCTAATTTTCTTCTTCTTTTGTAAGCTTAAAAAAAAAAAAAAACAGGATATCAGTAAATTTATCCTGTTGTTCCTTATTGTTCCCCCTGCTGGGAGGCTGAATCCTTCCAAGGAGTGACCCTCAGCAAAACATGAAGGCAACTGCCTCTCCCAAGTTACACCCCACCCTGGGGGCAGCCTGTATCCAGTGATGGACAATTTACTCATATCCTGGGCGCATTTAAAGTATATTTTTGCTTTACTTTTATTTTATTTACACAAGAAATACATTTCCTTGTTAAAAAATTAAAAACATTATAGGTAAGAGTCCAGTCCATTTCTCCTTGTAGTTCTTTGCCTTCTCCTCAAAAGCAACCCTATTACCAGTGAGACATGTGTGTGCATGTGTGCACTTGTGTGTATACATATGTGTAGATATGTATTACAGATATGCATTTGCACACATATGTATCTGTAGAAGTTTCTGAACTGCAGTTTTTAATTTAGCATTGTCTCCTTTATAAAAAGCATGCAGATGTATCACACTAAAAACATGGACCCACAACCTGTTATGCTGTATTGATCCACTACTTGCTTTCTTCCTCAGTAGAATGTCCTGAAGCTACACCTATGGTTCATAAAGAACAACCTCATTTTAACTGCAGCGCAGTGGTCAGCATAAGACAATGGCAGAATTAATGTTGCCATTTCCCCTTTTTTTTTTTTTTTTGAGACAGAATCT